GATTTGTATCAATTAATTGTGGGCCAAAGCAATTTATATGCACAACAATACATCACCATCCACCCAAATTCAGCTCTTGCCAGACAGTTCGCATGGAAAGGTATCACGGTTTTCGAATGTAAAACTCTTTTGTGCCTAACCCTCAACATGGGCATTACAAAAAAGAATGAACTGCGGTCACATTGGTCCATAGACTCGAATCATCATTTTCCCATGTTCTCTGATGCCATGGCCAGGCATACTGTAGATATGAGACGATAATGTGCTTCAAACATTTCAGTGATAACACTCTCATGAAAAAAAAGAACATTACATATATGCCCAACAAGGACCAGCAATGTACTGGTACATCGCTGAACTTTGAGTGGTTATACCAGGATCATCATGATTGATGCTTCTCATCAAATTCCTTGGGGTGACTACTTTCCAAAAAGGGGTCATTTGGGTGGGTATTTGTACTTTCCTGGCATGAGGAAGTATGCCCTTTGAAAGCCTATAGGTGGTCATTGGATTTTGGGGGCCTGTATGTGGCTAGGCTGCCAAAAAGTCTCTCACATATGGTATCCCCATACTCAGGAGAAGTAACAGAATATTATGTGTGTGTGTGTGTGTGTGAGATATTCCACATATACCCACGAGTAATATATCATTTAAGTGACAGCTTTGTGTAAAAAAAAAAAAAAAACCTCAACATGCTTCTCAGAACATTCCTTGGAGTGTTTACTTTCCAAAAAAGGGTCCTGGCATTTTAGAACATCAAGAAATGCAGTCAGAAAGTAAAAACTGCGTAAATTGCAGTATATGTACTATACTTTGTAGACGCTATGACTTTCACACAAACTAATTAATATACATGTATTGGGATTTTTTTTTACCAAAGACATGTAGCAAAATACATTTTGGCCTACATTTATGACTAAATTAAGTTCATTTGTTATTTTTTATAACAGAAAGTTGAAAATATAATTTTTTCAATAATATTGACCTTTTTTCGTTAATATCACAAAAAGTAAAAAACTCAGTGGTGATCAAATACTACCAAAAGAAAGCTCTGTTTGTGTGAAAAAAGGACATACATTTTGTTTGGGTACAGCAATTTAAATTTCTTATGGAGAAACATTTTCCTATCATATGTATATATGAAACATACTCTCTTCTATAGCACAATTAAACTGAACTACACATCTTTATTCAAACAATTGTTGGAAAAAATGACTTATCGCTAACCTATCCACTCTTTTGGGTGAGAAGAATAAATGCTTTGAAAATGACTCTTACCTAAATTATTATTTCACTTTAGAACACTGCTCATTAAGATTCTGCTATAAGACGCAGTAATACATTTATTAAATTCATGCAGAGCAACAAGACAAACCCAAACGTCTTTACTTTATGCCAATAACTATACACTAGATTAGATACTCATTAAGTCCTTAGCAGGTGGATCACTCCTTATAGAACCTTCTAATGTTGCTCACACCTAAACTGCTAAGCAGCCAATCACATGGCAGCAACTCAGTGGGGTTGATTTACTAAAGGCAAATTGTCTGTGCACCACAAGTGCACTCCAAGTGCACTCGGAAGCAGGAGCAGACTGATAACTCATGGGGCCCCCGGGCAATAGGGGATCATGGGGCCCCTGTATCCTTGCCCAAACTCAAAAAAGCCTATGAAAAAGGTACCAGGGGCATCTCATGGGGTCCCCTACTGACCCCGGGCCCTCGGGCAGTGCCCAAGTTTCCAAATGGTCAGTCCGCCCCTGCAACAGGGTTTTTACAACATAGTTTTTAAAGAAAATGGAAAATGTGAACAGCTTCTATTTTTATCCTGAGCATGATAAATAAGAAAAAGAAAAATGTAATAAACCAGTATACCTACAAGCGTTAATTTTAAATAGTGCTTTTAAAAAGAAGTAGCGGCTGAAAATGAATTCAGCCCAATCATCATATAGTCATGTTGTTAAAGACTCACCTAATTTTTGACAATTCTGGTAATTGCATTTAGGTCCACAGTGCCGTATGGTATGGTACTTATATGAAATCTGGTCCTCCAAAGCTTTGTAAAGTCGAGCTTTCATTGTTGTTTGCTCAGGCTTGCAGAAAGAAGTGAAAAATCCAAATACTGTAAGCCAAATACATTAGAGCTCTTTTGAAAGAATTACAGAAAAGTACTTGCGTAACAAAATGTATATTCTCAAATACCACTGACAGTCTTCCAAAAATAAGGCCCAAATGACAAGCCCTTACATATTAATTTCTCTATAATATACAGTAACATATATTAATACCTAAAACACATCTATGGGCAAAATGTAAAATCATGTATTAATTTCCACATTGTGTTTCAGTTATTTCTAGCCTACCCCTATTAATCTGAACGATCTCGAAGTTTGTAAACTAACTTTGTGAAGATCCCCACTAAGGAACCACTTGACCTATGGAAGGTTTTACCCCCTTCATGACCAGAGCATTTTATTGCTATTCAGCACTGTGGTAAGACAGACAGAGCTTTCTTTTGGTTGTATGTATTCACCCCAGAGTTTTTTTGCTATAAATATTTTTTTTACACAAATTTTTTTGGTATTTGATCACCACTATGTTTTTTATTATTTAAATGAAAAAATACCAAAAATGTTGAATAAAACCTACTTTCTACTTTCTGTTTTAAAACATATCCAATTAAAAAAAATCAGAAAATGTAATTTCCTCATAAATTTAAGCCAAGATGTATTCTGCTTTATGTCTTTGGAAACAAATCCCAATAAATGTATAGTAATTGGTTTTTAAGAAAGTTATAGCATTTACATACAATTATGTATACAGTGCTCAGCATAAATAAGTACACCCCTTTTTAAAAGTAAGATTTTAATCAATATCTCAATGAACACAAGGACAATTTCCAAAATTTTGTCAAAACTGAGTTTTATAGAACATTTGTTATTACATGACATTTAGGTTAATAATATAATTTAGATTACAAAACCTTCAGTTTTACTCAAATTAGTTGATGAAAAAATGAATACACCTCACAACACAAACTACTACATCTAGTATTTTGTATGACCTACATGATTTGTAAGGACAGCACCAAGTCTTCTAGGCATGGAATGAACAAGTTGGCAGCATATTTCAGCATTTTCTCCATTCTTCAAGAGCCTGAATGTTGGATGGCGAGTGATGCTCAACTTGACTCTTCAAAATTCCCCATAGGTGTTCGATTGGGTTCAGATCAGATACTTGGCCATGGAATAACCCTGCTCTTCTTCAAAAATGCAACAGTGGCCTTAGATGTGTGCTTTGGATTATTGTCATGTTGGAAAAGTGCATGACAACAAAGGGCATGGAGTGATGGTAGCATCTTCTCTTTCAATATAGAGCACTACATCTGTGAATTCATGATACCATCAATGAAATGCAGCTCCCCGACACCAGCAACACTCATGCAGCCCCAAAGAAGGACACTGCCACCACCATGTTTCACTGTATGTACCTGCATTTTTCTTTGTACTCCACACCTTTGCAACGCCATATAGTTTTGAAGCAATCAGTTCCAAAAACATTTATCTTGGTCTCATTACTCCAGAGTACAGAGTCCCAGTAGTCTTCTTCTTTTTCTGCATGGGCCCTGGCAGATTCTAGGTGGGCTTTTTTGTGCATGGGCTTTAGGAGAGGCTGCCTTTGTTGCTGACACCCATGCATGCCATTCCTCTGCAGTGTACTTTATATTGTGTCATGGGAAACAATCACCCCAGTTTGACGTTCTACTCCTTTAGCTGACTGCAGTGAACTTGCATGGTGATTTTCTTCAACCCTTCTCATCAGAAGACACTACTGTTGAGGTGGTAACTTTGGTATACGGCCTGGACGTCTCTGAGATGGTTGCAGTGTCATTGTTGTTTAAATATTTGAATCACTTTTGCTACAGTATTCTGACTGATAAGTAAAGCTTTTCTGATCTTCTTGTAGCCTTCACCTTTCTTGGGTAAAGAAATTATTTTCTTTCTCAGGCCTTGTGACATTTCTCTTCCATGTGGTGCCATTGCTGACAGCATGAAATGGGAAGGGGTTTTCTTTGTTACGTAACGTCCTTTTATAATCAAATGTCTGCTGGACATCTTCTTAATGAATAATTAGACTCCCCTGTAGTTGAATTCTTGTTAATTGGGATTTTGTTGTCTAAAATTTAGCTTTGCTCCTAAGACTTTCATTGGGGTGCATTCGTTTTCGCAACATGGTCTTTGTTAGGAAAAATACTTTTTTGTATGTGCAAATTAACAAATCTAGTTTGCAATCAATGGCCTGCATTTGTGGAAGTATTTTGTAGTATAGTGTCCCATAGACAATGTTGATTGTGAAAGGAAAGTAAAGATTTCTGAGAATGGCATCCCAGTCTTAGTCTGTAGGGTTAAAAATTGGGTTGGCCTACTCTTTGCAGCTATAACAACTTCAACTCTTCTGGGAAGGCTGTCCACAAGGTTTAGGAGTGTGTCTATGGAAATTTTTGACCATTTTTCCAGAAGCGCATTTGTGACGTCAGGCACTGATGTCGGATGAGAAAGTCTGGCTCGCAGTCTCTCGCTCTAAGTCATCCCAAAGGTGTTCTGTCGGGCTCAGGTCAGAACTCTGTGCAGGCCAGTCAAGTTTCTCCACCCCTAAACTCGCTCATCCATGTCTTTATGGACCTTGCTTTATGCACTGGTGTGCAGTCATGTTGGAACAGGAAGGGGCCATCCACAAACATTTCCCACAAAATTATGAGCATGAAATTGTCCCAAATGTCTTGGTATGCTGACGCCTTAAGAGTTCCCTTCACTGTAACTAAGCCCAAAATGGAATTAAGCCCAACCCCTGAAAAACTACCCCACACAGTAATCCCCCTTACACCAAACTTTACACTTGGCAAGTACCTTTCTCCTGCAACCGCAAAACCCAGAAAAGTCCATCAGACTGCCAGACAGAGAAGCATGATTGATCACTCCAGAGAACACGTATCCACTGCTTTAGAGTCCAGTGGCTGCGTGCTTTACACCACTGCATCCGACGCTTTGCATTGCACTTGATGATGTAAGGCTTGGATGCAGCTGATCGGCCATGGAAACCGGTTCCATGAGGCTCTCTACGCACTGTTGTTGTGCTAATCTGAAGGCCACAAGAAGTTTGGAGGTCTGTAGCTACTGACTCTGCAGACAGTTGGCGACTTCTGCGCACTGTGTGCTTCAGCATGCACCGACACCACTCTGTCATTTTACATGGTCTACCACTTTGTGGCTGAGTTGCTGTTGTTCCCAGTTGCTTCCACTTTGTTACAACACCACTAACAGTTGACCGTGGAATATTTAGTAGAAAGGAAATTTCACAGATGGACTTATTGCACAGGTGGAAACCTATCACGGTACTACGCTTGAATTCACTGAGCTCCTGAGAGCGACTCATTCTTTCACAAATGTTTGTAGAAGCACTCTGCATGCCTTAGGTGCTTGATTTTAGACACCTGTGGCCATGAAAGTGATTGGAACACCTGAATCCAATGATTTGGAGGGGTGCCCAGGGGCGGATTGACCATTTGAAAACTCGGCACTGCTCGAGGGCCCGGGGTCAGTAGGGGGCCCCAATGAGATGCCCCTGATACCTTTTTCATAGGCTTTTTTGAGTATGGGCAAGGACATAGGGGCCCCATGATCCCCTATTGCCTGGGGACCCCATGAGTTGTCAGTCTGCCCCTGGGGGTGCCCCAATACTTTTGGCAATATGGTGTATATACAGGGGTTAGACCAAAAAATGGGAACATTACATGATTTTCAGGTGTGAAAGTGACGATGTTTTGTGTTGAAAGTGGAAGTGATGTAACATTCTTTTGCTTCCAATGTGTGATTAGACACCTACATAACAGGTGGGAAGCCTCTTTTTCGTCATTCACTGTGTACTCTGCTAGTAATATGGAGTCATGTCAGAACTTACAAAGAGAAACAAAGAGTTCCAAAGAGGACAAATTGTTGGTGCCCACTTAGCTGGTGCATCTGTGACTGAAGTTGCCAATTAATTTGCCGTGTCATGAGTTACAGTATCAAAGGTTATGACAGCATATACAGTTTCAGAGAAAACGTTGTCTGATAAGTATAAGTGCGGTCAACATGTTCAACTAACAGAAACAGACAAAAGGACATTGCGCAGGATTGTGACCCAGAATAAGAAAACAACTGCTGTAAAAGTGACTGCAGAGCTCAATCTCACTCCTGTAAAGACTGCTTATAATACGACACTTTCCTGGATATGCCTTCATAACCTTTGATACTGTACCTTGCGACATGGCAAACAAATTGGCAACTTCAGTCACAGAGGCACCCGGTTAAGCAGGCACCAACATTTTGCCCTATTTGAAGCTCAGTAAGCTCTGACACGACTCCGTATTACTAGCAGCAGGTAATCCCACTGACAGCAGTTGAATCGTGGTTGTTAAGGATGCAATGGCCTCCTGTTCCTTAACAACCAGCTATTCACAATGAATCCAAATAAAATCAATACATTTGTAAATTTCATTACAACTTTTCTTTTTTTTAAATTCGTTAACATTCGTTACTATGTCCATTTGGAAATTTGGATACATCTGAATCTCCAAAAATCAAATCTGAAAAACTAATCATAATGTGTCTAGTGGAAAGAGATGACAAGCAGACAGGCAGAACTCACATGAAGAAATTAGATTTTTCAAGTAAGCTTACAGTGAATTGTGAAAAATAACTATCATATGTACTACTATGTACTCACATTGCTATTACAATGCTAATGTTATAATATAAAAGTGCATGCTGTGATTCTTACCTGCAGTCCTATGAAACAACAGTATTATTGCAATATTAGTAAAAGCTATGTGAAATAAAAACAAAGATAATCATGGTTAGATATAATAGCTTGTGTTTCTCCAGGAATGAAGATAGTGTACCCTGCAGCACAGATAAAATTAAAATAAAAGAGAAGGAAATGATATTTGTCATCAACTGTAAGGTTTTTTTTCCTTGTTATAAAAAGAAGCATTTTATGTTTTAAAATATACAAATGTAATTACTTCTCTCTGTCCAGACTCTTATGAAGCTGAAAAAAACAAAACTTTGTCTAACAAATTTAATAGGGAGAACAAAAAAGACATTAGAATACAGTCAGTGTACATTGCAGCACTGCAAGCATCATGGAAAGAGGGATGAGTAGGTTTGTGAAAGATTTTCTTATAAAGCCAAAACAGATGATGGCCATTGATCACCTAGAGTGCATCCTGGAAGGCAGGAACTGTGACCAGAAAATGTCCACAATCCAAATTTTTATACTTCTATGAAATGCTGTGAAGTGAAACTGTTCCTAACTTTTGTACAACTTTTCTACAATCTTCTTTAGCTCTACCAGAAGATCGCAGTTACAACTGTGGTAGCACTGATTACTAGTTTTTTTTACAGATTCCTCAACAGTCCATTTGGTATGAGTAATGTATACTTCAGTTGTGCCAAGCTGGATCAATGTAAGTATGCAATAGTGTTCATACCTGGAGTTAAGCTGTAAGGAACAGGGTGTGCAAAAATCAAAAAAATCAAAACAACCAATCTCCACAAGTTAAAATGGTATTAATGTTTCCCAATTGATGAATAACATATTCTCAGGACATGGAGACTTGGACATTTCCCATAATCCCCTTGCTTCATTCACTCTACATTGTACATTTACATTGTTTTTATTAACACAACATATTATTATTTTCTTCCTTTGCCTCTGGTCTGGGGAGCTGTACAAAAATAGACATCACAGATTTTCATTCCTGAATGACTTTTGCTACTTACAAAACACTGAAGATTGAAGAGATAATGCACACAAAGAGAGGACTGGGATTGAAGTGGGTTCTCACATATGCAAAAAGAAATTGAAGTTAAGGGGTAAACGCACCTCAGCAGAGACTGGGCACTAAGGGGTTAATGCTTAAATTCTAGGGATAGACAAATGAGGGGTTAATGAACACACTGAATATTCATTCCAGAGGTGTTGATGCATATTCCCTTGACACTGTTTGCCTGGGTACCATTGGTAAAATTTCCCTTAATTTTTTGTACCAGAAATGCAACAGAAAGATAGAGGAATTCTCCCAAAGTGAGGGGAATACCCCCTTATATGTCTGTCCTTGGAACAGGTGTTCTCATTAGAAGATTTACCCTCATCTCTGCATTACATTGCTAGATCTATAGAAGATTGTACAGTGAGTTTGAAACATGCCGTGAGCTTAAAGAATAACTAAAAGTGAAGTCAGGGAGAGGAGCCGCAACATGGCACTGTAGCAGCGTGGCCGTGGATCTCCGGACACTGACCTGCTGCCCTGACAGCTAACATGGGAGAATCCAAGTGAGAGCTAACCTCCCTGGATCTGGAGAGTGGCGTGGCTGGGGTTAGGGCTCGGTGGGCGATCAGAGGTTTTGCAGGGTGGAGGCATGGAGAGAACCGGGGCCTTTAGAGGAGTGGAAGGAACTATAGGTGGCCAGGGACTGCCTGCCTGTTAAACTAAAGTACCAGCTCATGAAGCATGGGCGGCTGGTGAAGTGGGACTAGTGTCTGAGGTCCTGGAGCATAAATGTTTGAAAGACTGAAATAAAAATATGTTTAAACATCATTTGAGCCCCAACACCCTCACCCACCGAGTTAGTGAAACCATAAAACTTGAATGAGTTTTTTAATAATAGTATGTCCTTAGCCCCAAGAAGGAGAGATTAATGGAGGTCACAAAAAATAAGATCTGAAGAAGATACTGGCAGAGTTTTGATTTAAAAATTAATGGAACAGTAACACAAAAAAAAAATAAAGAGGAAGGTGAATAGCAGTAGGACAATGTAAAAATCTGTGCTTGAACTGTTATTGAACTGTAACACAATAATACATACATGTGTGTACTGTTTGAAGAGGAAAAGACAATAGGAGAGAGAGATCTTGAGATCCTGTGACATAGCGGGATTATACACTACTTCAATCATTTGTATCAAAGTATATAAAGTCAAACAAAGTAATAATAGTATCTCCTTAGCCCCAAGAAGGAGAGATTAATGGAGGTCACAGAACATAAGATCTGAAGAAGATACTGGCAGAGTTTTGATTTAAAAATTAATAGAACAGTAACACAAAAAATATAGGGAAAGGTGAATAGCAGTAGGACAATGTAAAAATCTGTGCTTGAACTGTTATTGCACTGTAACACAATAATACATACATGTGTGTACTGTTTGAAGAGGAAAAGACAATAGGAGGGAGAGATCCTGAGGTCCTGTGACATAGCGGGATTATACACTACTTCAATAATTTGTATCAAAGTATATAAAGTCAAACAGAGTATTGTTTCAGAGGTTAAAAAGAACCTTGCAATTGACCTGCCTTGTGGAAGGTGAAGAGGATCAGATGGGCGGTAGTATGATTTAATATATAAGTGAACAAAACATAAAGTTTTAAACGAGGAAGGAGAGAGAAGAAGAGAAAGAGGAAAAGGAAAAAGAAAAATGAGAAATAGATCAACTAAAGGGGAGGTGCTAAAACCCTGCAATCAGCCTTGAACTCTTCTAATATAAAAAACTACTTGCCCATACAAGAGAAAAAAAAAAAAAAGGAAACGGGAGGTGTGGGTGGGAGGGAATGGGAATGGGAAGATGAACAGAAGAAACTATCTGTATCTATTACTATATGAACGGAAGATAAGAGGTCAAAAATAATCATAGGAGAAATGAACTGGGTTAAATTTATGACTTATAATGTGAAAGGGCTAAACTCCCCCAAAAAAAGACATAAGATACTTAGGGAAGTCCATCAATACTCAATAAATATACTATTTCTCCAAGAAACTCACCTAACGAGAAATACAAACGTGAAACTATACTCAAAGCACCATCAAACGTGGTTATATGCTGATTCACCTGTAAAGGGGGCAAAGGAGTAGCAATTGGGTTCTCAACAAAAGTTAACTTCTCTCTGGAGGACAGAATGGAAGACGGGTCGATATTTGTTCATCAGGGGAGTTACAAGGAAGGGAATATACATTGGCTAATATATACTGTCCTAATAAAAACCCAGCGGGATTCCTAGAGGGGATGCTCAGGAAACTTGCAGAATTTAAAAAGGGGCAGGGGATTTTAACCCTAGATGGGATGCGTCACCCAGAAGAGGAGGAGAGAGGGAGATAGGAGTCTTAAAGCATTCAAGATGCTATTATATAAACATCAATTGGTAGATGTGTGGAGAGTAAATCATCCTAGGGAAAGAGACTATACCTTCTTCTCTCATGTTCACGGTTCATACTCAAGATTGGACTATATAATGATTGAGCATAGACAGCTGGAGATATTGAAAGGATCAAACATAGAGGTTATTTCAGTATCAGATCATTCCCCTGTCATGATGAGGTTACAAACAGGGGAGAGCAATGATAAAATATTTACTTGGAGATTGAATGAAAC